GCGTAAAAAAAAAAAAAAAAAAAAAAAAAAAAAAAAAGGTGAGCATTCAGCCTGGGGGGTGAGACTAGAAGAGGGGGGACAGCAAGGGGACACCACCACATCGTGTGTAAGCAGAGGGGAGGAGCAGAAGAGGCTGAAAAGGATCATGAGAGTTATAGGAAGGAGAAGGCAAAGCCAAGGGATAGTGAGGAAGGGAGAGGCCCAGAGCCTCTGATCGCTCTAAAGAATCAAGTAAAATGAGGCCACAGGTGGCCAAGGCATTTGGTAGCCGGGATGCTGTGGGCAGCCTTAGGGAAGCAGCTTTGGTGGAGTGTTGGGGTCATCAAACACTGTCACAGAAGCCAGAGGGAAAGGGGGGAATGGAGTTGTAGGAGCACCAAATGAAGGACGGGTAGGTCCATGCTTGTAAAGTTCAAATTATTGGATTCTTACATCCGCATTACATTCATTTCCATCTTTCTACAGAGACTCCCAGTTTTTCATTTTAATGACTTTACCCCATCGTTGATAAGACTGAATGAATACTTTCTATGAGACAAGTATCTTACTTCAATATCTAGTTGTAAGCCTTTTAACAAATCTATAGGGTAGACAGTATTATTATCTCTTTTTTTAAAGATGAGTAAGGTAAGGCTTAAGGACATGAAACAGCTTGTCTGAAGCTGCAGCAGAGCTGGTGAGGGGAAGCCCCAGAATACAAACAGTCTGAATCCAGTCATTTTGTGCTTAAATATCACTCTATGATCTGTTGCCTCAAAGAAACACAACGCTTTCTCCCGGTGTTACACATCTAGGTGGTTTCTGCCCTCTTGCCCTGCATGGAGCTGTAGATTTCTGCTGAGTTAATTAATACATTTCCTCAACAGCTACTTTTTCTTTCAGCCCCATCTCATTGCTCCTCATCTGTCAAGGAGTTGAGTGATCAGTGCACAGAACACTGAGGGTGGGATGATTTACGAAGCCAAATACCCGGAGTTCTCCCCAAAAAAAGGGAAAGAAAAAGAAAAAGAGGCATTCTTTCAGGAAATCCACCTGGTTACATCCTGAAATATAAATGCTTATCCCAAAGAACCTTAAAGGAAAACATTTAGCTGATGCTTGAAATGGTTCAATGCAGAAAACCATGCTGAACCCAGCAGTGGTCCTTCCATCATTCTAAAGTCATTTCAGAATATTTTTAGAGGTTTTTGTAAATACTTGGCCAAGAGAGATGAGAAACATTACACTTAGCAAGACAAAGTTGAATCCACAAGAACTCGAGCAACAGAGTTGATAAAGGTTCAAAAGCACATTTTTTGTATCTAAATAAAACCCACCAGAAAATAATTTCAAAACACCAAGTCTTCGAGGTGGCATTCTTAAATGGATGCTGCCACTATGAAAGCTTTGTGGCAAGGAACTTGAAGTTTCTAGACTCTCCCAGCCTTTCAGCATTATCCTTCAAAGACCTCTCCCAGATCAGTGTTTTCAAACATGCCTGACTGAGACCCCAACAGGAAATACATGTTGGCCCAGTATATGCTTATGCGTGCACAAGTGTGCATTCACTTCACACACTCCTTATACACACACCCATGCATACTTATCCTCACCATCTGCCCTTAACTCAAATATTTTCTTTCCTATTTTATTTTATTTGTTAAAAATTCTGGTCCTAATACACAAAATTTTTTCACGAGGGCTTGAAGAGTCGCAATCCACAGTTTAGAAACCCTGTTCTAAAGGATCTGCACAGGCAAGAACCTGCAATTGGTATAATAGAAAGTATACGAGCTTTGCACAGGGAACTATATTCAATATCCTGTGATAAACCATAATGGAAAAGAATATTTTTAAAAAAGAATGTGTGTGTATATATATATATATATATATATATATATATGTATAACTGAATCACTTTGCTGTACAGTAGAAATTAACACAACATTGTAAATCAACTACACTTCAATTTAAAAAATAATCAATGCAATTCAAAAATATATTTTAAGAAAGAAAGTTTATGAGCTTTGGAATTAGACAGACATGGAGTGGGGTCCAATCACACCTCTCCAGTTTACACACTGTGTGCCTTTAGGCAAGTTAGTTGATCTCTCTGATTCCCTCTCCATAACCCTTTGGAATTGCTGGGAGAATGAAATGAGCAGACACATAGAAAAGCACCTAGCCCAGCACTTAGTAGCACTGAATGCATTCATTCGTCCAACAAATATTCACTGAGCACCAGAAGCTGTCCTAAGGGCTGGGCATACAGCAGTTAACGAAACCAGTGGCACCTCTGCTTTCGTGGAGTTCACATTCCAGATGGCAGAGACAGACACTAAGCAAATAGACTATGTCAGGGAGTGATAAGGGCTGTATTGGTTTCGTATTGTTGCTATAACAAATTACCACTAACTTAGTAGCTTAAAACCACACAAATTTATTATCTTATAGTTCTGGAGGTCAGAAGCCCAAAATGGGTCACACTGGGCTAAAACCAAGTGAAGCCAG